GGGGGGAGGTGGAAAGAGTCCTCTAGACTCTGACAACAGGGCCCTACAATCATCCTCCCAGAGAGGTTGAGTGACTTGCACAAAGTAACATGCCTGGGAAGATGGGACCAGAACCCAGATCTGCAGGCTCCTGCGTGTCTCCTACTGCATGACAATGCCCTCCACCCAGAGGGCCTGTGGCTGCCAGAAACTTAGCCCTTATCTCTCTGGGGGCACTAAGGCTTCAGTTTTCTGTAGACAAACAGGGGAAGAGATGACGTGAATCTTTTATGCACCCACCTTTTCTTCAGTGTCTCCCAGTCCTTTATGGAAATCCTCCCATTTACTGGAACCAGTCCCTTGTGAGCTTACTCTTGCCATCCTCCTTCTAGGTGCTACGATCTTGCCATCCAATGATCCCACCTTCCCTGCTTCCTCTCTTCCATCCATCTATCCATCCATCCATCCATCCATCTATCCATGCATCTCTCCATCTCTCCATCCATTTATTCATTCACCTCTTCCTTCCTTCTTGAGCACCTCAGCTCTGCGCCACGCGCTCAGCACCTCTTCCCCATTGCTCCTCAGAGCACCCACTCCAGAAGAATCCACTTCTCTCCTGACCCCATCAAAGCCTAGAACTGATGTGCTTACAAGCACCCTCTTAGGAGGTTGATCTGATAGACAAATCTGTGCTAACGCGTTTGCACCAGACCCATTATCCCCTCAGAACCGGCAGCAGGCAATGATTTCTGGAGCCCTCAGGTCAGCTGAGGCCTGCTGCCCAGGGCCTGGATAACAGGCCTACCTCCCTTTCCCTTGTCCCCCTTCCCTCCCCTCCCCACTGCAGCCCCCACATACGTATGCAGAAGTCTCCGCTTTCGTAGTAGCCAGGACAGCACTGGGACCTCCGCCGGTACATGGTCCGGAGCCCACGCCGATACGCTGTCTTATAACTGATCCTACGGCACAGAAAAGAAAGCCACTTGAAAGTATTGAAAATCAATCACTCCTGTTAGAATGATATTCGTGTTAAGCTATATCAAGGATGCCATTCAATAATTACTTTAAAATGCATGGCGGCTTCGAATATGATGGAACACAATAAAGAAAAATCAATGGTGGGATCTGGGCCATTGTGATGCAGAATGTATTACTGACATGGCGGCAGCATTTGCTACACCTGCTGACTTCTTGCCAATCCCTTCAGAGCGATACTTAGAAGGGCTGCAGAAAATACTTTCTGGACGGTAACTGGGGACTTCTGAAAACCTCCAGACCCAGGGCTGGAGCAGCCCATGGGGTGACCTTGATAGGAATTGGGCCCTGAGAGTTTCTATGCCAACTGCCACCACCCCAACCATGATTGCTCATGGCCCTCTGGGGATTGGTCTACCCAGTTGGAGAACTGAAGCCAAGTCAGCAAAAGGACGCTCTGAGTCTGACTAGTTCCCAGACAGTGGATTAATCTCCCTCCCACCAAAAATAACACCCCCTGGGAAAGAGCTTCTCATGCCATCTTGGGAAGGCTCAGAACCAGCTCTGCAGAGGAGGAAGCTAATATCCAGAGCAGAAGCCCTGGACGGGGAGCCAGAGACCTGGGCTCCAGTTCCTATGCAGACCTGAGTGTTGAGACGTGGTCCTGTGCCACAGAGATTTATAGGCAAAATCACTCAGTCTCTATCTGAGGCGGGTAGCATTATTATGCCCCCTTTATTTCTTTCTTAGAGTTTTTATTCTTATTTTGTTTTATGTACTCTCCCCCTTTGTTTTCTGGATGAGAAAACTGGGAAGTTAAATCACTTGTTCGAGGTCACACGGCTAATAAGATTCAGAGGCAGAATTCAAACGCAAGCCACTCTAATTTCAAAGCCACTGGGCTTAACCTACTGCCCTGTGCCAGTTCCCAAGGGGTGGCTTTCTGGGCTAATGGGATGGCCATCATGAAGCCATCATGAAGGGAATGAATGGTGTGAGGACAGAGTCCTAAGGAGGGAGTCAGAATTGGGTACTGACAGGCAAAGCCCCTTCCTCACACATAGGGTCAAAATGGAGATTTGAAGGGGCCATTAAAGACCAGAGAGAGGAAGTAACTTCCCAAGGTCAAGGTGTAACTTGGACTCAACCCAAGTCCTCGGGCCTTGAAGCCAGAGCTCTTTCACCTCCCCACCAGCACCCCAGAGGAGCGTGCCCTGCGGACCCCTCGTTGTGGGGCAGAGCCACGGGGTCCAGTCACTGGAGATGCCTATAGCCTGCTTTCCATGGAGGGTCAGGCCAACCTGGGCAGGGAGTCCTACAGCACAGGCTGGGCCAGCCCTACCGGTGCTTACAGCCTTTGCTTTATGACAAATGACAGTGCAGGACTCCAGGGAAATCTGTGATATTTGGGAATGTCACAAACTAAGGTCATTCTACTTTGTCAAAAATCCATAAGGGAAGGTAAGTAAGCCAGCCTCTACCTGTACCTCCCCGGTACAGGAAGGCAGCTCCCGGCAATCTCAGTTGTATAAGCCTCCGAGATAAAGAATGACTCAGGGTTGACTAAGAAGTCACTCACTCAATCCATGCCTCCCACCAAACAGAGTCATGCCCAAGCGCTTCCAGTGGAGAGGTGGTCTCAGAATCACTAAAGCCTCCCTAGAGAAAGATGTCCCCCACTCCTTCTACCTTCCCATCCGTGATGGCTCCTTTCCTCTGGAAGGAGAGGGAAGGGGCCAGGGGCCAGGCTGCTATCGGAAGGATGCTGCATTCAAACAAGCCATTCCACACTGAAGGAGACTGATGGTGCTGCTGTCAGCATGCTCACTCTGGGTCATCAGGAAAGCTGCAAAGCCACTCAGGAAGTCAGCAAAATAATTCACGTTCCAGGAATGCAGCCTGTTTTAACAAGCAGCCACTCACTTACCCTTCCCCAGTGGTGATGGACGGCAGCGCCAGCCTCCGAGTAACCAAGAAAGCCACTCCTCAGAGCAAACTTGGCTCTGGCACAGGGCCTGACAGAGTCATGGAGGGAGCAGGACTTTTCTTTCTGCCTCTGCCTTTGACCAGGGCCACGGGCAGCTAACTTGGTCAACCAGGGGAGGTTAAGGGGATGCGGTAATGGCTGAGTCATTCCTATCAGATCAACCCTCCTGCAAACAACTCTGCAATCTGAGGAAAATATAAAAAACAACTACCTGAAAAGCACTAGAGAGAGAACAAAGGCAGATCCTGGAGGGAAGGAGACACTTCGAAGAAGGGAATGACACCAGGAAAGGTGAGCCCAAGGGCAGGCCCCAGTCAATAATATTCCAGATGGCTAAAATTCAGATAGAGGACACACAGCCTTACTGGTCTGAAGAACCACAGGACAAGCTGAGGGTAGACCCAGCAACTAGAAAGTGACAAGAGAAACCCTAGAAAGGAGAGAGCCACAAGGAGGAAGCCCCATATTCTTTGTAAAATCTCTGCCCCAACTTCTGGCCCCTGAATTACACGTGTACAGGGCAGGTTCCAAGCAGTCCAGCAAAGGCTGAAAATATGAACTTTCCGAGTTTGGAAACTGAGTTTAACCAAGTTAATTGGCTGCTAAAACAAACAAGCAAACAACAACAACAACAAATCTGGAGGAACACAAGAGAATTCAGTCTCTACAGTCTCTGTTGTTCATAACACCCAGAATACAATTCAAAATTACTAGACACATTAAAGAAACTAGAAGATTGTACCTCTGTAAGAAGCAATCAACGAGGACCAACCCTGAGATGACCCAGATGTTGGAATTAGCAGACAAGGATTTTAAAGCAGCTATTATATCTATGCTCAGTGTTTCACAACAAGTTACTAGCAAAACCCGCAAAGAAAACCAGGACTTTGGCCTTCCAGCATAGAGCAAGTTTCCCCATCCACATTTCTGTCCACCATGATTCCTGCATAACCTCAAAGAGCGACCAGGCCCACAAAGAGGAAGCAAAATATCTGGAAACAACACAGATGCTCAGAAACTAGGAAACGGGCCTACCAGGTAGCCTCTCTCTCACTCCCTCACTGACCCTTCATCTGCTGAATTTTCACCCCTCAAATAACAAAGCTACCTTGCCTGTGTCGAATACCTCCCTTTTCCCCACTTTCCTCTGCTCTTTTCACAGTATTTGCACATCCCTGACCCTGCAGGTAGGGGGGGCAAGGGTCATTACATGTTTGATGAGTACACAGGGAGTCCCAAAATAGAGTGACTTGTGCGGGGTCATCCAAGAAAGCATGTTTTCTCTTCCTTCCTCTCCTGTCTCTCTGGTGCCATGAGGGCATGGCATGATTTCCAGGAGGCCTGCAGACAAGGAAGCAGAAATCCCACGTGCAGTTGCTCAGATGGAGTGCTTCCCATGGGCAGCCTGGCCAAGGCGCCAAGAGGTGCTGGTCTATAGCCTGCACCCTGTTCTCCAAGCCGGGTACGCTGCACGGGGCTACATGTGCTCTGACGGGGGGCCCTCTGAGGTTGGATTTCCCCCAGAAGCAGACCCTGAGGCAAGGATTCAAAAGCAAGTAGCTTATCTGGGAGATGATCCTAAGAAGCACTGGGAGCGGCGTAGTAAAATGAGAGAGGGAAGTAAAGGCAGCCAGTTCAGGGTGTACTTTTGAGCAGCTTCCTGCTGTGCGTGACTGAGGTTCCATCCCACTGGGGACCACAGATATGTGCAGAACATGCCTCAGAGTTGGGTAAGGAACTTCTTACCCTAAGGGTAAGGAAGCTGGTGTATTTTTCCACTAATTCCCCATCTGCCATTGGGTGAGGGCAGTAATTCTCTAGCACTTCTAGCCTGCCCTGCCCATAAGCTGCTCTGACTACAAAGAAGCCCTCAGCAGAGCCTCTCCCGTGAGTACCAAGAGTGCGTACCAAGGGGATGCAGGCGGTGCACTGACTCCATCTGCTAGGGGGGCAGGAAGGTGAGCCTGAGGGCCTGCCTGTTTCCCCCCACTCACCATCTGAGAGAGGTACTCACCGATGCCTGGTACACTTGAACCAGTTGAGGATGTCTGTGCATCGCGTGTAGTAGATCTGATCAAAGGGGTGTGCGTAAGATTCCTGGACGGTCACGGCATAGCTGAGAACCAGACAGGAGATGGAAGCTGTGGTCAGCACTTGGGAGGCAGAGCTGATATTCAGGATGGGGTCTCCCTCCCCAGGGGAGCCAGGCCCCACAGCCAAGTGTCCAGGGGCTCCAACCCCCCCCCACCCCAACCCCAGTCTCCTCCTCCTGCCCTGGGTACTCTCCACATTCAAACCTCCCTGACTCCAGGCTAGATCCAGGACACACCCCTTACTGCCCTGTGGCCCAGCTCACTTTCCAAATTTCTGGTTCATTTGTTCATTTAACAGAGAATGAATAAAGGAGGGTTTCCATTTATTCTATGTGGCTCTGGAAGTCCCAAAGCTAGCACGTTTTAAAATACTTAATGATTGTTCAGGTCTTTATGGTCTTCAGAGCACATGCGTGGAAGCTGATCTTTGCAGCAACTCTATGAAATAAGTGGTCCCATTTTACAGATGAAGAAATGAAGGCTTAGAGGCAGCTTGTCCAGGCCACACAGCTGGTACCAATAACTGTTAATATTTGAACGCCCTGTGTTAAATGTTTTAAGCCCTCTTAATCCTCACACACAATCTTTTTTTAAAAATTTCTCATTATTATTATTATTTTTTGGCTGTGTTGGATCTTCGTTGCTGCACATGGCATTTTCTCTAGTTGTGGCGAGCAGGGGCTACTCTTTGCTGCAGTGTGCGGGCTTCTCATTGTGGTGGCTTCTCTTGTTGCGGAGCACAGGCTCTAGGCAACCGGGCTTCAGTAGTTGTGGCTCGCAGGCTCAGTAGTTGTGGTTCACAGGCTCTAGAGCTCAGGCTCAGTAGTTGCGGCGTGCCGGCTTAGTTGCTCCGCGGCGTGTGGGATCTTCCTGGACCAGGGCTCGAACTCGTGTCCCCTGCAGTGGCAGGCGGATTCTTAACCACTGCGCCACCAGGCAAGTCCCCTCACACAATCTTATAAGGTAGGTGGTGGCATTGTTATCCTCACTTTACAGATGAGGGAACTGAGCATCAGAGACGTTAAGTGACTTCCCCAAGGTCACCCATTACCCTCGGCTTTATTATGTCTCTAGTATAGCTGGGGATGCAACGAGGACATGCCCCTAGACCTCCTGATCGAAGTGGTATCTTGTTACCTGCCTATTAACTGTAAACCTGGACCAGGGGGTAGAAGCCACAGGGAAGCAACTCCCAGCTTCATCAAAATAAGCCTTTCCACCTGCCCGTGCTGGCAGGAGAGGTATGAAAAGGCAGTCAAGCCAGGGCGTAAAGTGAGGACTCACACTTCCTATGCAGGCTGGGAGAGGACCTCTGCTGCGATTTTAGGGATTAATTTTTATGTCAGTTTGTATTATTCAGTGTTTTTCCCCAGAAGGCTCACTCACTTGGTCCAGATGGCCAGGTCCAGGCTATAAAAGCCCGTCTGCTTTGCCTGAGAAAACTGTCGGTTTACTTGCAGGGGGGCTGGGGCAGGCCAGCCCCCCCGAGTGGGTCTCTAGTAGGCTCTCTGCTGCCAGAAATGTCAAAGGTCTAGAATTCAGAAAGAGGAAGCCAGGAGCAGTCAGCAATGCACATGTACTCAGGGTGGTGGGAAATTCTGTTTCTCTGAAGCACGGAGGATGTGAGAAGGGTCCTTGCTGAGCCTCTACCAGCCGACACATCAGAGATGTGCGTCCGAGGCACATGTCTATGCAGACACGGCCTGAACCCATTTCATCTCCAGGCTTGGAGAAACTGAGCTCGACAGCCACCCCTGGAGTCCCAAAGCCCCTTCCAACTCTGAAAATCTATGACCCTGGGCTCCTGCATCTCTACTGAGTCTCTTACTTAGAGGCAGGATAAGAGTACAGGGGCTCTGGGTCAAGTTTGAACCCTGTCACTTGTTAGCAGCCTGTCCTTAGATATAATACTTAGCTGGTATAAGCTTCCATTTCCTTACCTGTAAACCTATGATAACTATTACCAGGGACTTCATATCATTATGGCAAGGATGAGGATGGCAGTGATAGTATCTGTGTCTCAGAGTGGTGGGAAGGTAAAGCAAGATAACACAGGTAAAATGCTCAACACAAGATAATACACATAAAATGCTTAACAGGTACACTGTCAGTGTCTAATAGATGCCGGCCATCATCATTATATGACTGGCAGTGACACACCTCCTTGCCAGGCACTGAGGGATAGTTCCTCCCTGACCATAATATGGGATGGGGAGAAAGACCACACACAGACCAGACTCCCTGCCTTTGTTAAGCACCTGGGGGAATCAGGCACCCCTTGTAGCACAGACAGGGACAGTGGGTGCTCAGAGAAAGGGCGTCAGCCCAACAGAGACGGTGGGGAGGGTGTCATGGGGAACAGATCCAGCTCTGCAGGGGTGCCCTGAGCCAAGCGAGTCAGGCAACCAAAACTTGAACCAACTCCAAGTCCCCGGGTGAAGCGTGTGCCCCTGGTTTCATAGCTGGGTGGTTTAACACGCTCATTTGCCAACATGCTAACGAGGGGCCAGATTAATCTTGTAAAGCTGGGCTTTGCTAGCCAGGGGAGGTCTTTCTGCTGGGTTTTATGGTGGAGGGACATAATTAACGAGGAGCCTGCCAGAAGCACTAATCCAGCCGGGAAATTCTCCCTAAGCGGTCTCCGGGGACCAGGGTGTGCTTCTGGAATGACACAGACTAGACTCATCTACGTGTAGATGGCAATGGAGCTCAGTTGGAAGAGCCAAGAAGGAGGAGGTGCCTGGTGGCACAGGGCATCACACAAGACCTCCTCCCTTGGGGCAGGAGAAGCCCCAGACCTCCTCTCAGCTGCTGGAGTCTCTCCTTGTCCTCCCATCAAAGCAGTAACTTCAGCTCACAGCCCGAACAGCCTGAAACGCCGGCTCAGCGCAGGTTCGGATCAGAATATTTCCACATTCCAAATGTATTCATGTCGGGCAGGTTTAGAAAATTAGTGAGTTTGGTCTAAGTTTGAACTGATCCACTGGTGCAAATGGCGCTCAGAGAAAAGGGAAGTCAGGCTGGGCCCTACCATCAGGGAAGGCTTCCTGGAGGAGAGGTTGGAGGCACTGGGAGAGGCAGAGGTGAGCAGACAGGAAGGAGGCGTTCCAGAAGCCGGGATACAGCACAGACTTCAGCAGTGCAAACCAAAGACTAATGTGGAAGTCACCTGCTTTCTCCCTCACCCACTGGGAAATAAAGGTTTACATTCACCTAAACTAGAAGAGGTAAGGGGCCTGGATCACCACAGAATCATGTGGAAAGCTTATGAAAACTGCATATGCCTAGGCTCTACCCCAGACCTACGGAATCAGAGTCTCTGCGGAGAGGACCCAAGAGAATCTGCTTTTCACCCGCACTTCAGGGTGCCTGATGTGCAGTAAAGTCTGTGATAACTGTTCCTGAAAAGCTGGAGTTGTCAACAAGAAAAGACAATAATTGAGCTTCATGGTCCTCAAAGCCCTTTCATGAAACTGGTACCTTGATCGTCCAACAAGCCTGTGAGGCAGGGCTAACGATTCCCCCCACTTTACAGAGGCAGAGGTAGGCTCCGAGTGGTTCAGAGACATCCCCAAAGTCACAGGGCTAACAGATAGAAAACTCCAGACTGGTGTGAACCAAGGTCTCATCACTGATCTCGTGTTCTTCCCACTTAACCAAAAAGGAGGACGCTGGTGGCAACACTGCCTTCCGCTCCAGCCTCGACTCTGTTGGGACCCCTCATGGAGCACCCGGTCACTGGAGACCACGCTGGTGTGGGCACCATCCCTCTGCCTCCCAGCCAGTCCCGCCAGGCCCTGGGTGAGGGGACTTTCCCTGCCGTGGGGCTGGGGCATTCACCCTCACAGGCATGGAGCACGGCCCTCCCCACTCACCTGCCCTCCTCCACCATCCGCTTCCCCCATCGGGCCCTCATCTTAATTTTATTCATTTGATTTATTAACATCTAAGTGACAGAGTCATCCTGGTCAGCATGGCCAATCAATTCCAGGGTATAATTTGGTTTTTCCTGATTGGGTCTCTGGTCACTGTCTTTCTGCTCACCAAAATCGATACTTTCACCTTGTGCTTCAAAGTCAGGCCATCTGCAGAGCCCCGGCCTGTTCCCCCTGGAGCTGGTGCTGCAGCCAGAGTGCAGCTGCCCTTCCCCTGTGAGCCCTCTCTAACCCCACCAGATCAGAAGCAGCAGGGCCCCCTCACCTACCCTGCTCGGGGCAGGCTGCTGGCTGCCCTGCACATCTGAGCTGCTGCATCATTGCCAGTCCTGGGAGACCAGGAAGGCATCGTGGCGTTGGAGAACAACTCATCTGGACCACAGTCTCTCACTGCACCCCACCTGTCTGGGGATGGGCACTGAGCCTCTCTGGGCCTCTACTTCCTCATCTGTAAAATGGCTGTAAATGCAAATGCAGGGAGGAATACTGTCAACTACCAGACTGCATCATTCACGTTGCCTGTCACTCAACGCCCCCACCCTGACCCCCAGAGCACTGAGTCTCAGAGAGAATCTACACAGCATTGGCCCACCTTTCAGCATCTGTGCTGTGTCCCCAGCTGGACTGCAGGCCCTTGGTGGACAGCTTCCGTACCTCCTGCCTCTGCTTTTGTCCCAACAGTGCCAAGCCCAGGGTGAGGCCCCGAGGGAGTGCCTGGCTGTCCAAGAACCGCATCTTACCTCTCCCAGTGGCTGCACACGTTGGGGTCCTCAGGGTTGAGGGAGAGGACGGTTTGCAGGAGGGAGCAGACAAGGAGCCCTGCCACCGAGAGCACCATCCTGGGCCCTGCGCGGGAGAACAAAGGAGGCAGCGTCATTAATCAGACCGTCTTCCCAGGCATCTGTTTGGGGCCATGACTCCTCGCGTAAAGCGGCGGAAGAGGCTCACTAAGCTGCAAAGTTTCCCATCGTCATCGTGTAATGAGCAGCTGATATTTTACACTTGCAGGCTTTGACTAACACCGTAACACTTCACCACTTCTGAGTAACCGGGCAGTGGGAAGGCTGAGTCAGGGAAACGTTGAAAGTGTAGGCCAGAGCTTCTGAAAGTTTTTTGGTTCATGGACTTTGAGAATCTAATGAAAGTTACAGAACTTCTCCCCCACAAAATGCACATACGCACGACATTTGGCTGTGATTTCAGGGTGCCCTCAGGCCCCTGAGCCCATCCTTGGACCAAGAACCCCTGATCTTTTACCTTAAGGACAACACCCTCCCCCTGTCCCTTCTCCCTCATCTTTGATGTGCTTTGCCCATTCACTTCCTCTCTCTACTCCCTCCTTCAATGAGGACAGAGAAAAAAGGTGTCTGGTATGGCCCTGGGGACAGGTAAGCTGAGAAAACCCTTCTTAGCAGTTCTGGTCCAACAAGCCACCCAGAAGACTGGCCCTTGCTTTTCTTGTTCCCGTGGGCTATCAGCCACTGACACCCAGGGTGATGCATCTCTGCACGTCATATACCAAACGGGGGGCGAAGGGCTTGGATAGCCTGGTAAGGGGCTTTGAGGAATCAGCTTGTAGAGTTTGATCCTGGCCCCTGAAGTGACAGCCTGAGTCAGGGGTTAAGTGGGCCTACCCAGCTACCAAGCCCCTTGGTCCTTGAACTGAGGATTCCCCAACAAAGGGCTCCTCATAGAGGCAGAGAACCATTAAGGTGGGAGCAGCTGAAATGACCTCCGAGGCTCCTTCCTGTCCAGGACTCCATGGTCCTACAGCCTTAGAGAACTGCTCAAGGGTTCCCACCTGGTGAGGGTGCAGGGGGGCCCCAGAGCCACCCCCAGGGGACCTGCAATTCATGTGTGCTCAAACATCAGCTACAGACTGAACAAACACTATGGCTCAGAAAGACAGCACTATATTTCACGTGTTCACAGATGCGATCGTGATTTGCTTAAAAGCTTTACTGAATTCAAAGTACCTTTTATTCTCAATCAGCCACATTAAAAAAAAAAAAAGCAGCTTCTAACAACTGGGGGCAGGGATGGTATAGAAATTCTTTTGACATTGGAAAGGGGTCCCCAGGATTGAAATGGTTGAGGATTTCTAGTCCATTGACCTGGAGTTTACCGACGAGAAGCACCTTCTTGGGGACAAGGAAGAGTAACATGGATGTTGCACACGCCCCCATTTGTACACAGAGGGAAGCGAAATGGAGAGCCTGCCTTCGTGAAAGGTTAAACTCTCCCCTCCCAGCCCCAATAATTTCCTTGTTAAACTCTTTCTTAGCAGCTCCTTCAAAGATAAACAAATTGTCACAAATTCTCTGTAACCATGGGGGTCCAAATGATGATTAATGAGGTTTTTCTCTCTGAGATCTGGAAATAATCTGGCTAAATGGATTCTGAAAATCGGTTAAGAAAGAGAAAAGCAATTCTGGTGCTTCTGCACAATTTGCAGTCTGGGAGTTGCAAGCCACAGCCGCTCCTAACTCCCCCATACGCTCACCCCACCGGCCCCCAGGCCTCGGAGGCCCCACGAGCACCTGGACAGAGGGCATCACTGGACCCTACACAGCGCTAGGGCTGCCAGTCATTTCAACACATTCTCCTCAAAGAGAAGGCGAGACCTTCACCTTTGGGAGGAAAAACAGCCTGCCCAAGACATGGCATTGAGTTTGGAGGATGGGCATCTTCTTCCAGGTGAGGGTTGGGCTGATCAGACATCAAATAAATCAAGTAACGAAATAAACGAAGGGACAGGAGCACTGAGAGGCATAAAGTCTGAACGCAAACTGCAGAGAACGCCTCATCTTGTTACTGTCTTGTTACTTTGGCCGCTCCTGTAATCTCCAGCATTCTCCCGAGAGGACCCCCTGGCCACATCTTCAAACTTACAAAGCTTAGAATATCAAAGGGTGAGGCCACCTGGACTAGAGGAGACTGTGCCGCTGGCCCCTTTTAATCCTTGTGATGGAAGAGGGGTGGCAGATGGAGGTAACTAGGATCGCGGCTATAATTTGGGAGATCTGTTGAAATCTTTGTGAAAACCTTTCTCTGAGTCAGATCTGGACAGGACAGTCTGGCTGACTCCCACTGGGCAGTGAGATACCTCGGCACCAGGGCACAGAGAGGGTAACAGGTGTGTGGATAAGCACACAGGAGGTGGAAATGGATGCGGGAGCACAGGACACCACCAGCCAGGTGGCATTTACACAGTCTGAGGCCTCACTCCTCCGTTACTGTGTGTGTGTCAAGGCTGCCGAGCAGGGAATGCTCCCCAGGACTCACACCCAAGCCTCGATCAGCCCTGTCACCAGCATTCACAAAGTTCACCATCTGAGGCCAAGTCCACCTCTGTGGTGGTGTGGTCGGGGGAGAAAGATGTCGGCCTGTGGGTGGAAGAGGTGACTCCCCTAGGACCCCCTCAGCCCTCAGGCTTTTTCTTTGAAGCGGCCAGTCTAAAAGATGCAACCTTATCACCCATCCCTCCTCCCCAGTCAGGCTGGCCCCATCTCCTGCTCTTTCTCTCTGCCAAGCCTCGCTCACACGGCTCCCCTGCCCTCAATGCCCTTCGTCCTCAACTCTGCACATCCAAACACCTGCCACGCCAGGTCCAGCTCAGGCCCCAGCCCCGCTCCCCCCGCCGCTGCAGGGCTTGGCACCTACCGCAAGCCAGCACACTACACTCATGTAGCTTCCAGCCCGGCCAGCCGGTCCAGCGCTCATCACCTCCCATCTTGCCCTGACATCCTTCCCAGCAGATTGACTTCATCTTTCCGATGTGTCCGTAAATGCTTGGAGGCTGGGGTCAAGTCCTAGTGTGTTGCCAGTCAGTTCCTTTTGGGAACTGATTTTAGAAAATGTGTTTCTACTTGTCTCCGACACTTCACTGAGTTGGAGTAAAGAGCAGCCAGAAAGGAGCCATCCCCACCTGGGGGCAACTCATGGTCATTAACTTTAATGGGGCTTCCTGGGCTGTCTCTCTCTGAGGACAGATCCCAAAGACATATACTTATGAGATGACTGAGGGAAAATCAATCGCGCCACGGTGGTTATTAGGCCGACTCTATTCGGAGTAACAGAGGTTAACAAAGCAGTCACCATCTGACTTGGGGCATTAATAATTAAATAGGGCTTCCCTGGTGGCGCAGTGGTTGAGAGTCCGCCTGCCAATGCAGGGGACACGGGTTTGTGCCCCGGTCCGGGAAGATCCCACATGCCGCGGAGCGGCTGGGCCCGTGAGCCATGGCCGCTGAGCCTGCGCGTCCGGAGCCTGTGCTCCGCAACGGGAGAGGCCACAGCAGTGAGAGGCCCGCGTACCGAAAAAAAATTAAATAATAATAAGAAAATAAGAAAATGTCCCTGGTTTCACTTCAGAGGAAGAGAGCATGTAAGTAGATCAGCCGGTTCCCTCCCCTCTGGCCCATGCTCCTTGCATAGTAAGAAGCAGAGGAAGGGAGTGACGTTCCAGAGGTGGAGAAATTTCTTTCCTGACTGGGGGTATGGCTGCTTTACACCTG